ATATTACTAGGCAAGGCTGTCTCTCCTTCCCTCTTTTACTTCTTGAACATTGGCGCTGCCTCCGATAGCCTCCCCACCCCCACCTTGTGGGGTTGTAGCTCTAGGTTCAGGTGTTCCTTGACTGAAGTCAGGCGAAAATGAGTTTCAGCCTCACTCCCAGTAGTCCCAGAGAGTCCCAATGCATCTCATTAGCTTTGATTGGGTCACAATCCTATCCCTGAGCTAACTGCTGTGGCCAGGAGGAATGCATATCTGATAGGCCAGGCCTGATTCATGTGTTTACTCCTGGAGCAGGGACTAGTTAATGCCATCTGTAACTAATGTGGATCATGGAGGGAGGAATAGTTGATCCCTAGATGAAAATTGGATGCTATTATCGGAAGGGAAATGGATGCAGAATGTCCACAAAATAACACATCTCTGCTTTACTTGGTGTTTTTCTTAATAACAAATCTATTCTTCCTGTTAGTAACATCCTTCAGTAGTGTGATGATTGCTGCAATAAGGGAAGAGGAGGGGCCACAGGAGCCCGCATAGGGCTTCTCACCTGCTAACCTCAATGTCTCTGTCAAACAGAACACAAACTCATTTGCTAAGAGATAAAGCCAGCTATGCATTGGGGTGGTGGTCTCAAAGTGTGTTCCCTGGACCAGCAGCAGCAGCAGCATCTGGGAACTTGTTAGAAATACACATTCTCAGGCCCCATCCCAGAGTTACTGAATTAGAAACTTGGGAGTTGGGGGCTCAGCAATCTATGTTTTAACAAGCCCTCCAGTTAATTCTAATGCACACTAAAGTTTGAGAACCATTGGATTAGAGCTTTGCTGCTAAAAGCGTGGTCATGAACTAGCAGCATGGACATCACCTGGGAGCTTGTTAGAAGTGCAGAATCTCTGGCCCTACCCTAGACCTACTGGATGGGAATCTGCATTCTTAATGTCTCCTAGATGATTCATTTGCACATTCATGTTTGATAGCATTGGGTTAGGGGTCTTGAAGAGAGTAGAGAAGGGGAATTGTATAGAGAGTTGACCAGTGACACTGAAAAGGACGACCAAACAGTAGCACTTGAGCTGGTATGCCGTAAGTGTCTCATGGCCCTGATCCCCATAGCTGTGTGATTTCCTCCAGTAGCTTTTAAGGCAGCTCAAGCATAGAAGCAGAGTCCTTCATTCAGATTGACCTGAGGTTGAAGATTAGCAGAACAGGCATGTCAGAAGGATAAAGGATTCAGAGTTGACCATACGATCATGAGAATGGCCAAAATGGTGCAGAATGGGGTCTAGGCTGGATAGGAAGGAGGATGGCCATGAAGAAAGAGGATGACAGCCTGGATATTTCTAATAACTTGAAGCAGGTAAAGTGGGAGAAAAATCTACATGCCAGAGTAGTGGACTGAAATTGCTGCATAGGAGCTGTGGAACTGCTGGTAGTCTAGAGAAAACTGTCCAACAGGACTTCCTGGATGGTGGAAGTGTTCTATTTCTGTGTTGTCCAATATGGTAGCCCCTAGCCACCTGTGGCTATTGAACACTTGAAATATGACTAGTATGACTGAGGAACTTAATTTTAAATTAAATTAAATTTTAATTAAAATTAAATTAAGATAGCCACATGTGGCTAGTGGCTACCATATTAGACAGTCCAGATCCAGAGTTTGCAGTCTTATGGGATCCTAAATTGTAAATTCAGGCAGAAATTTTATTTGAAATATGAATTTGTATGCTAAAGAAGGATACTTTAATATTTTAAACCTAAAATTAACCCAGTAACACAAAACTCAAGTCATATTACTTCTCAACTGCATATAATTCACAATCTAATGAAACAGATCACCGAGGCAGTACCACTAAACAAAGGAAGGAGATCAGGATAGAAGGATGCAACAGAAAACAACACAGGGAGCAGTCATACTCTCTTCTCTGGCTGGTCACATGAGACCAAGAAGGAACTTTATGGTCAGTGGGCCAGTGCCTCCTATTTCCAGAATGGCAGCATGAGTCAGCAGCTTTCAAGAGCCAGAGCCCATGGCTTCCTGCACTCAGCTAACTTGTGCCTGCGATTCCCTCTCCCAGGGAAAAGTTTAGGGCTCTCCACTTCTGGGGAAGGAGAAGGAGGACTGGGTTCTGTTTTATGGAATTCCTGACAGCACAGTCTACTGATGTCCCCCTTCTGACACCTTACCCACTACACTAGGGATTCTCAACGTCAGCTGCCTAAAAATCACCTGAGGAGCTTGTTGACAGTTCCAGATTCCCAGGCCACCTTCCAAGATTCTGATTTAGTAGGTATGGACCAGAACCAAGGAACTGAAAAAATTTATTTAAGTAGTATTAAATACAAAAGGATGCACACGATGAGAAGTGGGCCTCCCTCCAGCCTGGCGCCTAGACCCCAGTTTTCTCTAGAGGAAGTTTCATGTCCATCCTTTGGGAGGTATTAAATGCATAAGTAGGTGGATGTGTATATATCTCTTAAGAATTTTGGAAATATTCATCCATTTGTATATAAGAATGTATAAAACATATCCACAGTCTAAAGAATAAGTGTAACGTGTGGGGCCGGCCCCATGGCCGAGTGGTTAAGTTCTCGGCTCCGCTTCAATGGCCCAGGGTTTCACTGGTTTGAATCCTGGGTGCGGACATGGCAGCGCTCATCAGGCCATGCTGAAGTGGTATGCCACATGCCACAACTAGAAGGACCCACAACTAAAATATGCAACTATGTACTGGGGGGATTTGGGGAGAAAAAGCAGAAAAACAAAAAAAGAAGATTGGCAACAGTTGTTAGCTCAGGTGCCAATCTAAAAAGAAAAAAAGAATGTGTAATGTGACACTCATGTAGCCAGCACCTAGGCTAAGAAATAGGACAGGGTCAGGACTTTAGGAATCCTGCCTTGGACTATGCCCCATCTGATCACACCCTCCCCTCCCCTGCCTGGAAACCACCATACTAACTTGGGTGATAATCATCCCTTGCTTTTTACCTTTCTACAGCTAGGTATGCTCTCCCAAATGACATATTGTTTAGCTCAGCCTAACTTTTGAATTTTACATGTGTAGTTAAAATCATGTTGCAAACATTCTTCTGTGACTTTCTTTTTTCATGCAATATTTTATTTTTAAGAATCATCCATAATGATGTATATGGCTATAGATTATTCACTTTCACTGTTACATAGTAGTCTACTGTATGAGTGTACCACAGTTTATCCAATCTACCACTGGTGGACACTGGGGTTGTTTCCAGCTTCTGGCTGTTGAAAAAAAAATGCCATAGTGAAAATTCTAGTATATGAGTCCTGATGCACAGACACACACATTTCTGTGTGGTATATACCTGGAATGGAATTGCTAGGTCATGGAGTGTGCATATCAACAGTAGAGCATCCACACTTAGTATTGTAAGTCTTAATTTTTGCCAATCAAGTGAATATAGAATAGTATTTCATTATGGTTTTAATTTGTATTCCTGTGATTACTAATGAGGTTTAGTATCATCTCAAATATTAATTGGCCATTTGAGTTTCCCCTATTGTGAAGTGCCTGTTCAGGACTTTTCCCCATTTTTCTATTAGATTTTTGAATTCTTTTTACTATTTTGTTAGATTTCTTTATGTCTTCTGGATACTGGTCCTTTGTTGATTATGTGTTATGAATATCTTCTCCTACTTTCTGGCTTGTCTCTTCATTCATTGGAGTCTTTCTTATTTTGAAGTAATTTTAGACTTACAGAAAGGTTGCAAAAATAATACCCTTACTCTAGTTTCCCTTAATGTTCACAACTTTTATAACCACAGTATAATGATCATAATCAGGACATAAACAATACCATGTTGCTAATTAAGATACAGACTTTATTTTTATTTCACTAGTGTCCTTTTTCTATTCCAGGATCCAAAGGGACCCCACGTTGCATTTGGTTGTTGGGTCTACTAAACTCTGAAAATCTGTGGCAGTTCCTCATTCTTTCCTTATTTTTCATGACCTTGACACTTGTGATGAGTACTGGTCAGGTATTTTGTAGAATGTCCCTCAATTTGGGTTTGTCTTATGTTTTCTCACTGATTAAGGTTAGACATTTTTGACAAGACTGCCACAGAAGTGGTGTGTCCTTCTCAGGGTATTATATTAAAGGGTATGTGATGTCGATGTCTTATGACTGGTAATGTTACCCTCGATCACTTGGTTAATATGGTGTCTTCTGGGTTTCTCCACTACAGAGTTACTATTTTTATTTTTGTAATTGATGAAGATGTTGAGGGAGATGCTTTGAGATGATTATGCCATACTTTTCTTCAAATCTCTGCCCATAATTTGTCTGTGACAATTATTACTGAGGTATTTCCCTAAAGGTGATTTTATATTTCCCTTGCTCAGTTTATTAATTGGAATTCTTGTGTAAAGAAGAGCTCACTACTCTCCCTCTTTATTTATGTCAGTATAGAATCATGGATATTTATTTCATTCTATGAGTAATAATTCAGTAATATAATTTTTTATTTTGTTATTCAAATTATTCCAGCTTTTCACCATTAGAGCTGCATCAGTTTGCTCTTTTGTCTTTTTGACATGCCCCCATCCTTTTCCAAGGACTTTTGTTTTCTGGCTCCACAAGATGTTCCAAGATCATCTTATATATTCCCTGCCCAACCCTGGAATGAACCACTTCTTCAAGGAGCTCTGGTTCTTCTTATTAGAGAAATATTATTTAGTGATGCGAGCTTGGCAAGCTGAGGAGTTGAAAGAAAGATTTCTTGGACTCTCAAGGTCTGGTAGTAGTGCTCTTTTATTCAGAGAATAGCATGGGGACAGGACCCATGTGCAGGGACTAGCTGCAAGCATGGGGACAGGACCCACGGGCTGTGAAGAGCTGCAATGGGTTGAGGGTAGGGCTAAATTTATAAGGCATAGGTATGCGAGTTTTTTCTTTACAATACAAAGGAAAGATCATGAAAAAAATTGTTAAAATGATATCAGTGCAATACAAAGGAAAGATCATGAAAAAAATTGTTAAAATGCTATCAGTGCAATACAAAGGAAAGATCATGAAAAAAAATTGTTAAAATGATATCAGTGCAGGTGGGGTCTGGTTATCAGGTGGCCCTATAACTTTGGGTAAGAATCAGATCGGATCAGGTCAGGACGTTCTATGCTTCCCGGAGGATGATACAGATCAATATGTAGGGCAGGAGGCCTTGGGCTTCTCTCCGTGGGGCAGCCTCGATCCTCATCATAAAATGCCCCCTGAACTCATTTGGCCCCAAAATCTTTTGGGGATATGGACGATGGTCAATCTTCTGTGACTACTTCCAGCTGTACAAGGTCATAGAGCTGTCCCTAAATGGGGCCACAGGAATACAGGCAGGAAGTTTAGTGGACTGGAAGGTTCCACCCGCAGAGTCCAAGGCTGACGAGGTATACAGATCCTCTGGAGACGAGAGAATCATTTGATGAGAAGTGGTCCATGAGGCGAAACTTTGTTGACATATGGAAGACAAACAATGAAATAGACATCAAATTATAATAAGAAATACAAACAATATGATTAACCCAACGAATAAAGCTTTGATAGTAGTCCAGAGACCTGGACCTGACCAGGAGTCCAACAAATCATTTAGGGATAGGGTAGGGTTGGACATGGATTTAATTTGGTGACTCATATCAGACAGGAAATTTATTTAGGGCTTCCATGTGCCAGATGACACTTTCAATTTCTAATTGGGGAAGAAAAATTGAGGCAAAGTGATCATACCAGTGGAAGACAGAATGGGTCCAGCATTGTTGTAGGTTGGGTAGGTTAGCAGGAGAAGATATAGTAAACGTAGTTCTACCTTACATCCAGACAAAGCCTGGGGTGCATCGCCCAAACCATCTAGGCGGCAGCAAGGCCATAAGTTGGAGCCACATAACCACTGAGTGCCATTAGGGGCTAACCAATGTGTGCTGGGCTGTCTATCCCAGTCAGTCCCAAACCAATCAGTATTTTTTAAGGCTATGATATGAGAACACATAGAATGGAGAACTTTTCCCATAGGCCGGGTGCTATTAGGCCATGTATCACAAGTGTGATTGGTTTGTTCCCAACATAGAGTGGCCTTTTGACTGAGTTGACCACTAGTAGTAGTGAGCCAAATATATTCATCCCAAATTTGATATAGTCCATCTTGTGTGTATCGACAGGTTGGGGACTTTACCTTTGGAACTTGTTGTTTATGATCCATCTGTGACAAAGCAAATTTAGTTAGTATTTGGGCAGTGGAATTGAAGGAAAAGGTCTGATTGTGGCTAGGGAGCTCACAGGTATCAGAGACGGATGGCCACAAGGAGACATTATGATTAGTAATAGATGAATCTTGTAGGAGAGAGAAACTAGAAATATATTGTGTAGTGAAGAGAAGCATTACACGCCAATCAGTACCCTGGAGGGGAGAGACCCACCAGGGGAGGCCAGAAGTACTAGACAGAAGTAAGAGTCCACAAACCCAGCGCGTGGTTGGTTATGGAGCTCAGCATAATGTTGAGCCCATTTGAAAAAAGAATTGTCTGTAATTACGAAAGGAGATAAGAGGAAAATAATCAAGAGTGGGTTCATTTTGTTCTAAAAAGTAATTTTAAATCACGGGTTTGTTCACAAGAGTAGTCTGGTTGAACAGCAGGATCTGGATCAGCTTTGTCCTATGAAGAAGTCATAGGTTTTATTCAGGAAATATGAGTCCAAGAAGTATGATCTTTTAACTTTACAGCTGTGGAGGTACTTAGAATGACTTGATAAGATCCTTTCCATTTTGGGCTTAACCCATCAGAATATGTTTTCCAATCCTTTAAATATACCATATCTCCAGGGTTTACCTGGGAAGGTGTATTGGCAACAGTGCTTCCAGCTTAGGTAAATGATTACCAACATAATCATTTAGTTCCCTTCATATTAGAGCAGCCTCAATGGAATATTGATATAGTTGGTGGTAATGAGAGTCCAATACTATATCAGTCGATAGAAAGGGCCTTCCATACAGGATTCATATGGGCTTGATCCTAAACTGTGCTTATGGGTAGTTCTCATCCATAGGAGGCCAGTAGGTAAGAGTGTAATCCAAGTTTCCCAGGTTTTGAGACTTAATTTGGAGAGATGTCATTTTAGAGTGTGGTTTGCTTTTTCCACTTTCCCAGAGGATTGTGGATGCCAGGCCGAATGCAAATAGTATTTAATTTGTAAAGCTGAAGAGACCTGTTGTATTATTTGAGCTATGGAAGAGGGACCGTTATCACTCTGTAAGGTCTTGGGCAAGCCAAAGTGTGGGATAATCTCCCTTAAAAGGGCCTTTGTTACTTCGATTGCCCGTTCACTTCAACAAGGAAAGGCCTCAATCCAGCCTGTAAACGTATCGACAAATACCAAAAGGTATTTATAGCCATGACATGGAGGCATTTGGGTAAAATCCAGTTGCCAATCTTCCCCTGGATAGGTGCCCTATCGTTGTACAGGCCATAGCAAAGGAGGTGGTTTAGCTGCCCCCTCTGGATTTACTTGAGCACAAGTGGAACAAGAGTGGCAGACCTGCCTAATGGTGGCATGGAAAGTATGTCCATCAAAGGATTTAGAAAGTAGTTGAGTCAATGATTGTTTGCCAAAATGTGTAGCCTGATGAATTCTGTTAACTAATTTCCATTGAAGGCTTTTAGGTATGAAAATTTTTCCCTGATCATTAATTTGCCAAGACTGTTTTGTTTCCTGGGTATATCCTTTTCTTGAGCCAGGGTTATTTCTTGATTTGTATAAGTAGGAATAATAAGGCCTAAAGCAGGGGGAATGGGGAGTAAGCTTAAAAAGAGTACTTTGTTTAGCTGCCTGTTTAGCTTCCCAGTCAGCAAAGTTATTACCCTGGCTCTCGAGGGATAAATCCTTCTGATGTCCCCAGCAATGGACCACAGCCACTTGCTTTGGAAGAAGCACAGAGTTTAAAAGAGCCAAAATTTCTGCTCCATGTTTGATAGGGGAGTTCTTTGTATTGAGTAATCCCCTTTCCTTCCATATGGCCCCATGTGCATGTAGGACCAAGAAGGCATATTTTGAGTCAGTGTAAATATTAATAACCATATCCTTCGCCAGGTGAAGGGCTTGGGTAAGAGCAATGAGTTTAGCCTTTTGGGTGGACATATTGGCTGCAAGGGCTTGTGTCTCGATGATGTGCAAGGCATTTACTACAGCATAGCCCCCCTTGCATGTGCCCTGTTCTATGAAGCTACTGCCATCTATAAACCAGGTGTCATCTGCGTTATCTATGGAGGAATCCAGCAGGTCAGGCCTGCTAGAGTACACTTGTCCTATGACTTCAGAACATGTATGCTCCAAATCCTGGACTGAGTAGTCAGGACCGGGCATAAGCTCTGCTGGATTAATCATTTGACACACCTTAAGGATGATCTCAGGGGCATCTAGGAGGATGGCCTGATATTTAGTTAGACATCCTCCAGTCATCTGTTGATGTCCCTTGGTCTATAACACAGCTTGTACCTGATGGAGAGTCATGACTGTTAAAGGTTGTCCCATAGTTAATTTAGAGGCCTTCTCAACTAACAGAGCTATAGCTGCTACAGCCCTTAGGCAGGCTGGCTATCCCAAAGCCACCAAGTCTAGAGTTTTTGAGAAATATCCAACAATTCGGGTCTCTGGGTCTAGTCTTTGAGTGAGGGTACCAAGGGCTTGGCCCTGGTTTTCAGCAACATAAAGAATAAAAGGCTTGTTGACATTAGGCAGAGCCAGGGCTGGGGTGGAAGACAATTGCTGTTGAATCAACCAAAAGGCCTTGTCCTCCTTTTGTGTCCATTCCAGAGGTTCCATATCAGGTCCTCTGGTTGCTTCATATAAAGGCTTTGCTATTACCCAACCTGAGGAAGCCATAAACAACAGAATCCTGCCATACCCAGGAAAGTGCAAAGTTTTTTTTGGTCTTTGGTGGTCCAGGTTTGAGGATAGCCTTTTTCCTATTTATAGAAAGTTCCCAGTGTCCTGGGGTTAAATCATAGCCCCAATTGGACACCTGCTGTTGTGAAATTTGTGCCTTTTGTGGGGAGACTCGATATCTCCGTTGGCCTAAGAAATTAAGGACAAGGACAGTATTGTGATCATAATCCTCCTTTGTGGGACTACAAATGAGAATATCATCAACATATTGTATTAAACCACCAACAGGGAGTTGGACATCCTGTAGATTCTTGCCTAGGGCATTTCCAAACAAATGTGGACCATCATGAAAACCTTGAGGGAGGATTGTCCATGTCAACTGCATAGGAAGAACTTCATTAGGAAACTTCCATTCAAAGGCGAATAAAGGTTGGGAAGTTTCATCCAGAGGAATACAAAAGAAAGCATCCTTTAAGTCCAGGACTGTAAACCAAGTAGAGTTTTCTGGGATCTGGGAAAGCATAGTATATGGGTTAGGCATGATGTGGTGGATAGGAACAGTGGCTTAATTACATGGAGGTCCTGGACCAAACGATAATCTCCACTTTGCTTCTTTTCAGGCAAGATAGGAGTTTATAGGGAGACTGACATTGTTTAAGGAGGCCGTGACTGAGGAATTTTAATATAAGGGGTTGTAATGCTTTAATTGCTTCTGGTTTTAAAGGGTATTGCTTCTTATGGGGTACAAAAGAAGAATCCTGCAGGGTAATAGAGTCTGGCTGTGCTGTTATAGCTCTTCTTGGAAGGGAGCTGTCCCAAACTTGGGGATAAATTACTTCCCATATATGGGGTGGAATATTAGAGGGTATCTGGGAAACAACAGAGCTTAGAGAGAGAGTGGCAAACAAGCCGTCCTCCTCACGTGTTAGAATAAATTGGCTTCCTAATTTTTTCATTAAGTCTCACCCTAATAATGGAGTAGGACAAGCAGGTAGGACTAAAAAACTATGGGAAAACACCTGAGTCCGATATTGGCAAGATAAAGGAAGAGTTTGATTACAAAACTTAGAGTCACCCTCTATTCTGACAATTTTTTGATGAGAGTTATGAGTTGGGCCAGAATGGAAAGCAAGTACAGAGTAAGTGGCTCCCGTATCAATAAGAAAATTGATTTGGTTACCTTCCACATCCAGAGTAATCAGGGGCTCAGTCTGTTCGATGATGATGGGAGCCAGACTGGCCTCTGGGCCCCTTCAGGCAGAGCCTTCAGGATTGCATCTCCAGGAAGGGAAGTGTGTTCTTGGCCCCTCTTTGCTCTGGAGGCAAGGACAATCACGCTTCCAATGTCCCTCTCGCTTGCAGAGAGGACAAGGCCCAGGAGGAGGATCCTTTCTTGGCCACTGTTTGCTCCAGTGTCCAAATAGACGGCAGTGGTAACAAGGGAACTTACCTGGGTCTCTGGCATTTGTAGTTTGAGACTTGAGACCCTCGCTAGCCTGTTTCGGTGGCATATCCGCAATGGCGGCTGCTAAAATGTGAGCCTGTACCTTACCGTGTAATTTTACCCTTCTGTCCTTATCCTGTCCCGATCATTAAAAACCTGAGTAGCAACCTCCAAAAGTCTGGTAGGACTTTTTGTCAATTTTGTCAATTTTCGGCGTATGTCTGGGGCAGATTGACTAATGAAGTGCATGTTTAGAATAGTAATCCCTTCCGGAGAAGTAGAGTCTAGATTGGTGTATTTTTGAATAGTTTCAGCTAATCTCTCTGGAAAAAGGGCAGAGTTTTCATCTGTTCCCTGAGTTATTTCCCAGAGTCTGTCAAAATTGACTGGCTTTGTAAATCCCTTCTTCATTTCCTTTATTAAACAAGTAGCCATGTGATTCCGTTGTCCTCTTTTTCATCCCTATAATCCCATTTGGGGTCTGTATCTGGCACCATAGTGCCTCCTACTGGATATTTATGTCTGTCTCTAGTACATAAATCATCTGCAAATTCACGTGCTCCCGCCCAAATACGATTTTCTTCATCTGTAGTGCAGCAACGAGTAAGAATAATATATATATCCTGCTAGGTCAAATCAAACATCATGACAAGCTGTTGAAAGCTGTCAATAAATTGGAAAGGACTTTCTGAATATCTACCCAGTTGTGCCTTTAGTTGAGCCACTTCAGACATCAAAAATGGCACATGGACTCAAAAGGTCCCCATTTGCTACCTCGCGGAGAAGGAGATGTCCAGGATTATCAGAGGTCCCACTCCTCGTATGACCTGCAGGACTTACAGGGATTGAGGACTCAATTTTAGGTTCCTCCTTGGAGGGAGGGGGTATTCTGGTCTTTGAGTCCTTGGGAGAGGTTAATTCGGCAGGAGCTGCAGGGGCCTTAGGGAGAGGTCTAACAAGGCAGTCATCATCTAATATATCAGATATGGGTTTTTCTACTTTAGTTGGGGAAGCTAGACACGTGCGACAAACTGCTCTGAGTTCAGGATCTTGATATAGGGCCATAAATGCTTGACTGTAAGGGATTTCAGACCATTTTCCCAGGTGGTGGCAAAATAAGTCTAGTTGAAAAATAGTATTAAAATTTAGGATGCCATTCATGGGCCATTTTTCCTCATTTAGAGTATATTGAGGCCAAACAGTACTACAGTAAAAGATGTCTCTTTTTCTTTAGATCTTGTAGATCAAATTTTGCCCAATTATTTAAAAGGCAGCCCAAAGGTGAGTCCTTAGGAATGGAATTAGAAGCTCCCATGGTCCTAAGAAGCAAAAAGACAAAAGAAGAGAGATGAAAGAAAAGGGTCTATTACCTTGAAAAATCCCCCCTGAACCTAGGGCAGCATCCTACCTGTTGTTCCTCCTGTGGGGTTCCTATAGCAAGGGGTGATGGGGGCGTCCCCCTGCATTGTATCTCTTGTATACCTTCCCTATTATGCCTGGCAGTAATAGGTGCCTGGTGAATGGTCCCAGAGGGAAAAGAATAGAGAAAAACAGTGAAGAATTTTCTGCCGGTCTGGGGGACATTCTACCCAATTGCGTCCTGGAGCCCTTCTCCCAAGAAGGGGTTCCCATACTCAACGAAAGGTTAGAATTTGGTACTTTCCTTGAACCGGAGTCCCAATTGGGACTTCCCGCATTTTGGAGTGTGGTCAGGAGTCATAGGGAGGGACCCCAATCCAGCCTTAGGAAAAGAAACCTGCCACAGGAGTCTTGAAGATTGGCAACCATCCTAACGACTTAGGTGGTCGACCTGTGCCCATGTAGAATTTATATATTAGAGATAGGATTAGGAAGGAATGGATTAATTCATTCTCCATCACCCTCAGGCTTAAGGTACTGATACTCTTCAGGCTGAATGTCATGATTTGCCCCATAGAGTAGCCATGGGCAGCAAACCTGGATTCATACACCTGTCCGAGAAGGTTCCCGACGAAGAAATGAATTTAGATCCATTCTTGAAAAAGAGGAAGGCACAAGGAAGAAAAGTGCACTTACCAGAACTTCAGCTCACAAGCCGGTGAAGCAAGATCCCTGTATGGGCCACCAGAAGAAACGACAGACTCGGCAGGCCGAGGAGTCGAAAGAAAGATTTCTCGGACTCTCAAGGTCTGGTAGTAGTGCTCTTTTATTCAGAGAATAGCATGGGGACAGGACCCATGTCAGTAAGAGCTGCAATGGGTTGAGGGTTAAGGCTAAATTTATAAGGCATAGGTATGTGAGTTATTTCTCTACAATACAAAGGAAAGATCATGAAAAAAATCGTTAAAATGTTATCAGTGCAGGTGGGGTCTGGTTATCATGTGGTCCTATAACTTTGGATAAGAATCAGGTCGGATCAGGTCAGGACGTCCTATGCTTCCCGGAGGATGATACAGATCAATATGTAGGGCAGGAGGCCTTGGGCTTCTCTCCCTGGGGCAGCCTTGATCCTCATCGTTTAGGAACCAAGATCTGGGTGCAAGGTGTTATCATTGCTACTCTCATAGGTCCTCTCAAGGAAGTGTGTGTGTGTATACTAATGCATACATACACATCTATAATTATTTCTATATCTATCTGTACATATATTAAAAATTAGGTTCACCCCAATACCTCCCATTCCACTTTAACACCATAAAGCTCATTCTAGTCTTCTCCATTTCCTTAGTTGTAAGTTCTTTGTCTGACAGTATAATTCTTTTTCTATGCTGCAAAATAAGTTGCCACAACATTAGCGGCTTAAAATGACACCCATTTATTTTCTCACAGTTCCTGTACGTCGGAAGTCTGGCACAGCAGATTTGGGTTCTCTGCTGCATTCTCACCTGGAGGCTTGACTGAGGAAAGGTCTGCCTCCACACTCCCTGGGGTTGTTGGCAGATTCATCTGGCTGTGACTGTAGAATTCATAGCAGTTTGCTTTTTCAAACCCAGCCATGGAGAGTCTCTGCTGCTTCAAATCCGTGACCTCTAGATTCTCTTTCAAAGGGCTTGCCTGATTGGTCGGTCACATCCAGGAGAATCTCTCTTTTGGTCTTAAAGTCAACTGACTAGGAACTTTAATTATATCTACAAAGTCTCCACCTTTGCCATATAATGTAACCTAATCAAGGGGTGACATCCCATTACCTTTGCCACATTCTGTTGGTTAGAAGCAGTCACAGATTCAACCTGCACAGAAGGGGAAGGGATTACAGAAGCTGTGACTCACCAGGGGTCACCTTAGGGTGTGTCTGCCACACACTGTGAGAAACCTGGCTCTCATTATCTACCACATATTCACTTGTTCAGCCCTAGTATACACATAAAATAATAACAATTGCTAACTCATACCTGTGAGACAGATTTACTAATTAGAATAGTATATTTGTGCACAGTTCTGCCTTAGCCTTACAGTACCCAGTAAAAGTACTGACTTCCAGTTACTTAGGTTAGTTCTTTTCTTTCCGTTTCCTTTGAGTGTGGTTATGTACTCATTTGTAACAGTTAGGTTCAATTGTTATTTCTTGTTTCCAATTTGGGTGCCCCATCCCTTACACACACACCCTTGTTGATTTTCAATTTTTATTTTGGAGGCTGTTGGAAGTATTACTATAGTTCTAAAAGCCAAAGCCATACAAAAAAGGATGCTCAGAGAAATGTTGCTCCCTCCTTATCTCCATCAATCGGTTCCAATTCCTCTTTTTTTTGTTTTTTGAGGAAGATTAGCCTTGAGCTAACATCTGCTGCCAATCCTCCTTTTTGCTGAGGAAGCCTGACCCTAAGCTAACATTCATGCCCATCTTCCTCTACTTTATATGTGGGACGTATGCCACAGCATGGCTTGACCTGGGATCTGAACCAGCGAACCCCGGGCTGCCGAAGCAGAATGTGGGAACTTAACTGCTGTGCCGCTGGGCCGGCGCCCCATTCCTTTTTTCCAGCTCTTTTTTACTCATCCTCTGTAAGTACCCAATCTCTTTAGTTTCTGGTTTATTCTTCCTGTATTTTGCACAAATGAGCAGATACATGCATGTTTTCTTATATTCCCTTCTTTCTTACGTGAAGGGTAGCTTACTATAGATACTCTTTTGCACTTTGCTTTTTTTCACTCAGGAGTCTCAGAAATCACTCCAAATCAGTTCATAGAGCTCGTTCTCATATATATATTTTTTGATTGATGTGCATAGACCTCCCTTGTGTGGATGTGACATGATAGTTTCAACCATTCTCCTATGTATAACCATTTAGGTTGCTTCCAATATTTTATACTTACAGACAATACTGCAATGAATTACCTTCTGGTCAGTACAGATTCAGACAAGTGAGGTAGATAATCTTAGACCATATGCCAAACTATGAAACTGTGACATGCCCATCCCCACAAGCCACCTTCACTTCTGATTCGCGTACCTTTGAGACTCCATGCAGTCGTTGCCCTTAACATGTGATCCAGCTGCTAGATTCCTCAGCCACTCTGGCCACCTTGTAAATAGGCCTGGTAAACACTATTCTCAGTAGCAACAATCCACCTGCCATTCTAGGGTAGCCTCTTTGATTTCAAGCTGCTCCTTTCCAAGTCAACTTTCATGACCTTATTTTCAGTTTTGGGTGGCCCTTCCTCACCCCTGCCCCCAGATCTTTTCATCTCAGCTGAGAATCTCAGAGATGATAAAAATCTGTCTTGAAATAGGTTACAATTCTAGAATGCTGATCTTTCCCAAGGATTCATTAACATGGGAGTTATTCTTTGGTCTTCTTATTGAAGCATTCTGAATGTTTACTGGCCTATTCAGACTAGAGCTCCACAATAGAAGGCATTAATGGACATCAGGGATGTCCACAGTGTCATAAAATGTTTAAATAAGATTGTGTCTACATTTATACGGGAAAAGAGACATCGAGATTTCACCAAGCTACCTTAAAAAAGGCTAAGAACCAGTATATTAAATTCTGTATTTGTTTCTTAACACAGATTGGTTGGAGGGAAATGGTACTGGCTGGGAGTCACCCTCAAATTCATGTTCACTTAATTGATTACTCATTTTAGGTAAAAAATTTTAATATACTAATTTTACACGAGTTTTACAAAAAGTACTTTAAAGTGCACATTAAACACTTCTTTTGGACAAGTAAAACTAAATAGCAAGTACTTTAAGTAGGTTTTACCTAGTTTTAAGACTAATGACCATAAAGATAAAATAAGAGCATCTGACGAATGTGAAGTTAAAGGACATTTTATTTACTGATGGATTAAAAACCATAACTCCAGGCAGTGCAAAATGCACCACTGAACCCAATTACAAAGAACTGGTGTTAATACACAATGTTTAAGCAATGCTACACTTATTTTTTGGCAAAGTGCTGTATTGTTTAGTCTGTATATAAAACTGACCATCTATTAACCAATCAGTATAAAAAATTTCTATAAAAACAGAAAAAAAATTTAGACAGTGGCTCAAGAAAACAAGCTGCCATTTATGCATAGATTGATGTACAGTATAAACTAACCAAATGTCCCTTTTGAGTTTTCAAGTCGTTGAAAAAAATTTGTGTCCAGAAATACATTGAGAAGGCACATAGTACAACCTACAATATTCTTCAATCTCTGTTAACTGATGCCCTGCCCTTGAAAAGCAAACATGTTCACAATTTTACTCAAGACAAAAACCAAAGCCACTTTTTTTGTTAAATAACACACACAATTATTGATTAAAGTTCCAAATCTCTCGGGGAGAACAACCAAAAAGCAAGCAAAAGCACTCATACACACCAAGCCTGGAAACATGCACATCTAACCGCCCCAAGTACTGGTTTGGTTTTTAGAAGTCCACCCAGAAAACAAATACTAAAACTTTAGGCAAATAAGAGCAAAACTGGGCATTTAACAATTACATAATTTAAAAACAATGTTGTCAGGAAAATTCTCAACAATATACAAAACATTATCCACTTAAGCTGCCTTCCTTTGAATAGTAACTTCTCCTACCACATAAAGGATACTATCATAAATAGAAAAAAGGTACCCTTATCTGTACGCTTTCCCACCCCGAACCACTGTAATTGGTGTCAAATTTCAAGTGAAATTGGTACATGGCAAGGCTGACACCACTGTTTTATGTACGTTTTCTAAATAAAGCATTTTATATAAAACTTTAAGCATTAAAATAAGTAGATATGGATGCCATTTATAATACATCGACATGGCTGATGGCAGTGAAACCATCCATGATAGTAGCCCAACTTTTAAAAGAATTTAACCAGTATGTATGGGCCTTATAAAATAAAAAGATAATTTTAAGGTAACAATACAAACATAGGCTAGTATCTCCAGTACAAGGAGCAGTCTCTTAACTGATTCTAACAACAAAAACTAATACTTGGAAACTCTTAAACTTTCTCCCTTAACCTATTTAAATTTAAATGTCTATTTTCTAGTTGGAATCCTTCATTTTTTGTTTCCAACTCAAAGAAAAGGAGGATAAGGAAGATACTCTTCTTTGCTCTCTTTTCTCAAGGGTATATAAAGACAATATATTTCCTTGAGGAAGAGAAATAGCAAAGACACTCAGATTCAATGAAAATATAAAGATTATAAACCAGTGTACCTCACAGATTTGAGAAGTAAAAACAATAGGCGATGCCAAATGGCCTTCTCAAGTTTTAAGCAAACTGTCTTCTCACTAAATCAAAGTACTGATACAACAGAGAAGATGTAAACAGGAACAGTTTGCACTGGAACTGGAAAAATGTACAGGAAATTAATGTAAAAAAAGCTCCCTGGAATAGAAAGTCAAAAATCCAATCACTTTGCATCTTCTGCAAAAAGTTCCTCACCCAACCAATCATATAAATGCATTGCCACAGAAGATAAATAATGGATGGTTAATCTTCAACTTACAGTGCAGTACATAATTCAATTAGTTGAGGAAGAAAAAGTAATAAACATAGGATATACATTATAAAATATTTTATTAACAAAAACACAAACTTTGAGAAATGGTGCACTGTAAAAACTAAGAAACTCATTCATGAAGCACTGCTTGTGTGCACCACATATTCCAGACTTTTTCCAAGTAACATTCTGTATCATCAGTTTAGAAACAGTTAGAGCACTAAACTCAGAGGGGTCTTATTTCTCATTGCTTGAAGTTGAAAGGAAGGTGCACTAAAGCACATTGTA